GATAGAGGTATGGTGGGCCATAAGACAAAGCTCAATAAATTTAAAAGGATAAGAAGTAATACAACAGTGTTCTCTGACTACAATGAAATGAAACTAGAAATCAGTAACAGGAAGAAATTTGAGAAACTCACAAACAGGCAGAAATTAAATGACACACCCTTACATAACCAATGTGTCAAGAAAGAGATCAAAAGAGAAATTAGAAAACACTTGGAGGTGAATGAAAATGAAGATACAACCTATTAAAGCTCATGTAATGCATCTGTATACAGTGCTTAGAGGAAATTTTATAAATTTATAACTTACAAATTTTTAAAAGCAGTACTTAGAGGAAAATTTAAAGGTGTAAATGTCTACATTAAGAAAAAAAGGTCTCGGGGCGCCTGGGTGGCTCAGTGGGTTAAGCCGCTGCCTTCGGCTCAGGTCATGATCTCAGAGTCCTGGGATTGAGCCCCGCATCGGGCTCTCTGCTCAGCGGGGAGCCTGCTTCCTCCTCTCTCTCTGCCTGCCTCTCTGCCTGCTTGTGATCTCTCTCTGTAAAATAAATAAATAAAATCTTTAAAAAAAAAAAAAGAAAAAAAAAAGGTCTCAATACAATAAACTAACAGGTCTCAAAATAATACATTTTCATTTTAACACACTTAAAAAGGAAAAACAAACTAAATCTGAAAAAGCAGAGTGAAGGAAATAAAAAAGATCAGAGCAGAACTTAATGAAATAAAGACTATTAAATAATAGAGCAAACAATGAAACCAAAAGCTGGCTCATGGATAACACCAACAAAAGTGACAAACCTTTAGCTAGACTGACCGATGCCTGGGTGACTCGGTCGTTGGGCAGCTGCCTTCAGCTCAGGTCATGATCCCAGGGTCCTGGGATTGAGCCCCACATGGGGCTCCTTCATCAGCAGGAGGCCTGCTTCTCCCTCTCCCACTCCCCCTGCTTGTATTCCCCCTCTTGCTGTGTCTTTCTCTGTCAAGTAAACAAAATCCTAAAAAATAAAATAAATAAATTAATTAATTAAATCTTAAATTAAATTAATCTAAAATTAACTCTTGAGATCAGCTTAGGTCATGATCTCAGAGGATCGAGTCTCACATCAGTCTCCAGAACTCAGCTCAGAGTCTGTTTGGGATTCTTCCTCTCCCTTTGCCCCTTCCCCCACTCATGCTCTCTCTCTCTCTCTCTCTCTCTCAAATTAAAAAAAATAAATAAATAAATTAAAACAACAACAAAAAACAACATTTAAAATCAGGGGTGCTGGTCACCTGGGTGGCTCAGTCGGTTGAGCATCTGCCTTCAGCTCAGGTGATGATCCCAGAGTCCCAGGATGATGAGTCCCACATTGGGCTCCCTGCTCAGCAGATAGCCTGTTTCTCCCTCTGCCCTGCACTCCACTGTGCTCTCTCTCTCAATAAATAAAATCTTTAAAAAAAAAAAAGTAAAATCAGGGGTGCCTGGCTGGCTCAGTTGATAGAGTATATGACTCTTGATCTCGGGGTCATGAGTTTGAGCCCCACATTGGGTATAGAGATTACTTTAAAAAAATCTTAAAAAAAAACCAACAAAAATCAGAAATGAAGAAAGGGACATTACTACCTATCTTTTGGAAATGAAAAGAATTATAGAAGAATACTATACACAATTGTATTTCAATAAATTAGATAACAGATGAAACAGACAAATTCCTAAAGAGTCATGCTATCAAAACTGCCTCAGGAATAGACAATCTGAATAGACCCATCACAAAGGAAGAGACTGAATTAGTAAAAAAACAAAAAAACAAAAAAACAAAACCAAAAACTACCCACAACAGGGGCGCCTGGTTGGCTCAGTGGGTTAAAGCCTCTGCCTTCGGCTCAGGTCATGATCCCAGGGTCGTGGGATCGAGCCCCACATCGGGTTCTCTGCTCAGCAGGGAGCCTGCTTCCTCCTCTCTCTCCCTGCCTGCCTCTCTGCCTACTTGTGATCTCTGTCAAATAAGTAAATAAAATCTTAAAAAAAAAAAAAACAAAACAAAAACAAAACTACCCACAACAAAAAGGCCAGGCAGACCTGGCTTTCCTGCTGAATTCTACCAAACAATTAAACAAGAATTCGTACCAATTTTTCACAAACTCTTTGAAAAAAATAGGAGTGAACACTTTCCAACTCATTCCTTGAGGCCAGTATTACCCTGATATCAGCACCATACAGAGACATCACAAGAAAACTACAGAGCAATATTTTTATGAATATGAATGAAAAAGTCCTCAACAAAACACTAACAAACCTAAATCCAGCAACACAGAAAAATAATCATGCACCTAAGTATGTGGGATTTAGCCCCCAAAATGCAAGGTTGGTTTAACCATCTGAAAATCAGGTAATACACTATATCAATAGAATAAAAAACAAAACCCACATCATCATCCCAATAGATGTAGAAAAAGTACTTGACTAAGCCCAACCCTCTTTCATGAGAAAAACACTCAACAATCTAGAAATAGAAGGGAACTTCCTCAACCTAGCAAAGGGCATATCTGAAAAAACCCACAGCTATGATTAAAAAAAAAAGTATTCATGCTTTCCTGGTAAGATCAGAAACAAGACAAAATACATGCTGTCATTTCTTCCATTCAACATTGTATTGGAGGTTCTAGTCAGGGCAATTAGGCAGATTAAATAAATAAAAAGTATCTGAATTAGAAAGGAAGAAGCAAAATTATCTCTGTTTACAGATAACAGGATCTATCTATTTAAAAAAAACTATTAGAACTAGTAAACAAATTCAGTAAATTTGGAGGCTATAGGATTGATATATAAAAAGCAATGATATTTCCCTACATTGGTAATGAACAATCTAAAATGAAATTAAGAAATTATCCCACTCACAATATCATGAGAAAGAATGAAATATTTAGGAATACATTTAAATTTTTTAAAAGATTTTATTTATTTATTTGACAGAGATTACAAGTAGGCAGAGAGGCAGGCTGGGGGGTGGGGTGGGCAAGAGCAGGCTTCTCCCAGTACCCTGGGATCATGACCTGAGCTGAAGGCAGCGGCTCAACCGACTGAGCCACCCAGGTGCCCCAGGAATACATTTAATTAAAGAAGCACAAGACTTATACTCAGAAAACTACAAAACATTGGTGAAAAAAAAATTTTTTTTTCAAGATCTGAATAAATGGAAAGACATTCCATGCTCAGGTACCACAAGTACTAACTACATAAGGTTTCTTTTGAATGTGATGAAAATGTTTCAAATTGACTGTGGTGATGGTTGAACGTATCCATGGAAATACTAAAAACTATTAGATTTTATACTTCAAATGGGTGAATTGTATGGGCTGTAGATTATACTTCAACAAAGCTGTTTCTTTTTTAAGTTTTTATTTTAATTCCAGTTAGTTAATATGCAATGTTATATTCATTTCAGGTAAATAAAGCTGTTTTTTTAAAATATAAAAAGTAAATAGTAAAAAAAAAATTATAAAAAGTAAATAAATAGCCAGCTCCTGGCTAGCTCAGTTGATCTCAGGGTCCTGAGTTTGAGGCCCGCGTTGGGGTAGAGATTACTAAAACATAAATAACTTAAAAAAAAAAAAAGAAAGAAAGGAAGGAAGAAAATAAACACAATGATAACTCAGCTTGTTTTGTAGAGTGCCCAGACACTCAGAATTGCAACCCCAGAGCGGTTCCCACACCCCCTTTGGTTGTGGATGTTTCACCATGATTCTCATTTCATGCGTGAGAAAACATATTCAGAAAAGCAAATTTCATGTTTTCATCTAGCAAATAATCCTTGAGGCCAAGGAGTTGGTCTTGTCTAAGGGCCCACAGTGAAGAGGTGGAATGAAGGAGGGTTTCCAGGTCTCCTGTCCCACTGTTGCTGGCCCTGCCCTTCTGGGCCTGAACTTCAGCAGCCATGTTAGTTCCTGGATCCCACGAGGTCCTGGCACTAGGAGTCTTGTCTGAGGATATAAGCCTCTAAGATACTTGTTCGTTTGTCTGGACCAGTCTGGGCCTCCTAGCAACCAGAGGTTTGATGTGACTCCTGGGAGCAGTCTGCACTCAGTGCCTGGCCTGGAAAGCCCTGTGGTGTATGGGGGTCCAGTACTGCTCTTCCTCCCAAAGTCATGTATACAATCCAAAGTCTTGGACCACCTCTTCTCTGAAGCAAGAGCCCAACTCAGTCTGGATGGGGAAGGAGGGGAAGCTCCTCTATTGGAGGAAGCTAGGGTGTGGGAATGGGGGCCCGGGTACTGAAGGGCTTCTTGGTCTAGGAATTAGCAATTACCTGTGCTTCGATTTCCAGGTGACCATGAGGCCAAACTGGGGTTTTCTCTAACGGGGTTGTGAACTGGGAGAGGGGATGGGACTCTAGTCCCTTTCCTTCTGCAGAGTTAGGTCAACCTCCCCTTTGGCCTCACCCAGTGTTTGTCTCTCCAGGTTCTCCTTCTGACAGGACTCCAAAGAAGGATCTTGCTGACCCTTGTCCCAGAGGCCAGAGACTAAAGCGATGCAGTGAATTCTGAAGGCTGAGAAGCAGAGGACAGGTCTTTCGGTTTTCAGATCTAGATGTGAATTCCAGGTTCACCCGATCCGGTTGTGGGACCTTGGGCAAGCAGTGCAGCACGCTGAGATGCAGTTTCCCTGGGTGTTCAATGGCTCCCTCTGCGCAGTCCGTTTTGGAGGGAAACGTTCAGGAGCGAGGCCGCAGCTCAGCAATTCCCGCAGGCTCAGCCGGCGGAGCTGGGACAAAGGCAAATCCAAGGGTGGGTCAAAGGGCGCCTGGGTAATTCCTATCCCTGGCTTCTGGGACGACGGCGTGCAGCGGCGTGGGCGACTCCACCGGGGACCCACACCTCGCGTCGCTGTCCCCTCAGGTCTGGCAGGGCGGACACACCCGGCTCCCGGGCGGGGGCGGGCGCGGGAAGGGGCGGGCCCTCGGCTGGGCTGGGAGGAGCGCGGAGCAGCGTGCGGACCGCGGCAGCGAGGGGAGGTAGGCCGGGGCGCGCAGTCGGGCGCGGGAGTCCCTCCCGCGGGCAGGGCACCTCGGGCTGACGTGCACCGCTCGCGGAACGCAGGCGGCGCCAGGGGCAGCCGGGCGAGCGCTGGGGCTTCGGCGGTGCAGGGCGGGAGGCGGAACAGGAAGGCACAGGCGGCGCAGCAGCTTCTCCCAGCGCGGAGAGGGGGCTCGTCCCCTGCTAACCCCCGGAGGGTGCCCGCCCCACCCCTGCCCCAGGCTCCTGTAGAGGACACGTGTCAGCACGTTCCCGCCGTTGTCGTCTCATCCCATGTCATAGCCCCTCCCCGGGGCCTGGGACACCCCCTCCCCCGGCCCCATTATTCCCAGGCCCAACCTCCCACGCAGAACCGAGGTCCCGGCCGGGTCCTTTTCCTCCACCGGCCCGTCTCCCCAGCCAGCGAGCGCCCCGGCCCGGCCCCCAGCCGAAGACACTTGACACACGGTCTTACCCCTGTCATCTCATCCCTCAGCCTAGCTCCACCCCGGGCCTGGGAACCCTGGTGTCCTTGGCCCGTTGTCCCTGGGCCCGGCTCCGCGCTGACCGCAGGCTCGGCCCTAGCCCCTGACCCACGCGTCTCCCACGGCAACGCGCCGCCACCGGGGATGCAGCCGGCAGGCTGGGCGGCGGTCAAGGAGGCGGCGGGCCGCGATGTGCTGGCTGCCGACCTCCGGTGCAGCCTCTTCGCCTCGGCGCTGCAGAGCTACAAGCGCGACTCGGTGCTGCGGCCCTTCCCCGCGTCCTATGCCCGCCACGACTGCAAGGACTTTGAGGCCCTGGTGAGTGTGCTTCTCTCCACCCCTTCCCGCGCTGTCCTCTGCGTCCCAGGCCACGTGGCCTGTGGACCCGTATTAGTGAACACGCCAGCCCCCAGACTTAACATTCCCAGCCGGGCCTTAAGGAAGGTTTCCATGAACTCACAACACCCATACCCTAACATCGACAATCCCAAGGCCCTTGCTGGTTACTCCCTCATGTTAATGACAAGTAACAACCCAGGAGTGAAGTCAGAATTCAATAGTCGCATAAGCCTCCACAAAATTTCCTAGCATGGCCAGCAGTAGGGGGGTTGATCTGAATCAGATGCTTCTACTAAGGAAGAACTTATTCATCTCTTTACAAGTAATCAGACACTAAAAATCACCAAAGCCACCCAGACCTTGATCTTCAAATGAGGTAATATGTGGGCAGTACTTTTATGAATTGTAACATGCCATCTGCATGTCAGCTGTTATTTCTCCCATGATTCACAAGGCACTTAATTTCTTACAGAGTTCACCTCAGGGTCAGCATTCCAGATATCAGTTGTCTTTGTAATTCAAATGTTTGGAATTACCTAGAAAAATACAGTTTACAAAAATCAGTTCTATAAGAAGTAGAAAATCAAAATAGCCTATAATCATTAAAGGCATTGAGTGAGTAGTCAAAGATATTCCCTCAAAGAAAACTCCTGACCTACCTGGTTTCCTTGGCGGATTCTACCAAACACTGAGAGAATAAGTGCTTCCAGTTTCATTTTGTGTAAAATTCAGAGTATTGAAAAAGAGGCGAATGTAAGCTTGATCTAAATCTGATAAGGATAACACAAGAAAAGAAAATTATAGGCCAGTGTCACTCGTGAGTATAAATATAGAAATCCTCAAAAAAACTAGCATCCTGATTCTGGCAATGTATAAAAAGAATAATTCCCCATGAACAGGGTGGATTTATTCCAGGCATCAAAATTAGTTAAACATTAAAAAAAAATCAGTGAATTTTATGAACCATGTTAACAGATTAAGGCAGATATTTTGAATCAACAGATGCTTAGAATTTTCTCTGATGGGGTGGTCAGGGTCGGATTCCCTCTTTGCTATCACTCTCAAGAGGTCTAGGGACAAAGGCCCAGCCTCCTGCCCTTATCTGGTCCATTATAGCCCAGGCCAGGGATGTGTTGAGGGCACCCCAGGCCTTGACCACAGTGCATAGGCATTTCAGGGTACAGGGAGTGGGGGTTGGAGAAAGATAAGCCAACTGACTTCCCTCATGGTTTGTTCTGAAAATTCAGATATTCAGTTTTGTGAGTTTGTGGTATCAGAGCCTTGGGGATAAAACGTCCTTTGGTTTTGTCAGGAGATATTTATGGAGTGTCTGCTGTGGGCCAGGTGCTAAGGGTACAGAATTAAAGACCCAAGGTCTTTAACAGTGTGTTCAGCTGTATTATGGAGTAAGTCTGTATATACAACATAGAAGTCCAGGGCTGGAATCCCAGTCCTTGGCAGTGGACTAGGGTCAGGGAGCACTAAGTAGGGGCTGTGGCTGATGCCATGCTGAGTCCCCAAGGACATGGAGGATTTTTGAGGAGAAGGGAAGAGGTTTTCCAGGAGGAGTAGCAGGATGGGCAGAAAGCCAGGAGCTCATTGAGAAGGACAAGTCTAGACTTTAGTATGGCTACCAAGGGGAATAGGAAGAGATGAGGTTGACCAGAGCACACAGAGCTGGGCATGTTTTGCCAAAGATGTGTTGATTTTACCCTTGGGCAGAGGAGGGCATGGTGAGATCCAGGATGCATTGTTTTGTTTTGTTTAAGATTTTATTTATTTGAGAGTGAGCACACAAGTGGGGGTGGGCAGAGAGAGAGGGAGAAGCAGATTCTCTTCTGAGCAGAGAGCTCGATGTTGGGCTCTATTCCAGGACCCCAAGATCATGATCTGAGTTGAAGGCAAATGCTTAACTGACTGAGCCACCCAGGTGCCCCCAGGATGCATTTCTGAAAGACCCCTGAGGAGGCAGGGTGAGAGAGGAAATCTGTCAGGAGGACTAGACAGAGGAGGAGAGATTAGGGTCAGAGGGACCAAACTCAACAGAGATGGTGCCTCGCAATGCACCTTATTAATTCTGACCAAGAAACATACAAATGGACTAGAATTCTCATTATGTTCTTTTCCTGCTGGAAGGTCTTCTCGGCAAACAGAATGAGGTTTGACAAATATGGGATAAAAGCAAAGGGAGCTTTGGAATTATTTTGATGTGCTCATGCTTTTTAAAAATTTATTTTTATTTTAAATTTTTTTAAAGATTTTATTTATTTATTTGACAGAGAGAGAGATCACAAGCAGGCAGAGAGTGGGAGGTAGGCTCCCCGCTGAGCAGAGAGCCCAATGCAGGGGCTCGATCCCAGGGCCCTGGGACCATGACCTGAGCCGAAGGCAGAGGCTTTAACCCACTGAGCCACCCAGGCGCCCCTAAAAATTTATTGTTAATTATGCAAACAATGGTTGGATATATTTTTGTTATAAAATATACAAATGATATGGATAAAGTAAAAGTGCCCCCAGCAGAGCATTCCACATTCCCCATAGGTATCAGTGCTCTCAGTTGAAGGCATTTTCTTCCTTCCTGTCATATCTCTAACCTCTTAGGAGAGCACTGGCGATTAAGGTAACCCCAAATAGCCAGCCTCTCATTTGTAGGGACAGACTGTTTAGGCATGGGGCTCTTTGTGCCAGTTCTAGCCAGGGCACCCTTGCTCCCATGTGCCACTGAAGAAACATGGATGGGTTCTTCCCATCCTGTTCTGGTGCCTTATTCCTTATTGGGCACCATTGTGAGGGAAGCTAGGCCAGGCTCAACAGCTTCTTGGCTGTGTGTAGGCATGGTTTTAACGAGCAGTTTCCCTGGAGAAGGCCACCCACCAGGCAGGGACTTGCACCATGACTTCTGGGGGCCTGCAAACATTCTTAAATAAATATACTTTAGGTTTCATTTTGCCACATGTTACATGAATTGTAGAAAAGATGCAAAGAACTTGGTATCTGTACCTGTATCTGACTCAAAGCTTAGCTTTTTATTATTTTTAAGTAAACTGTACCCCCAATGTGGGGGTTGAACTCATGACACTGAGATAAGGAGTCCCGTGCTGTACTGACTGAACCAGCCAGGTGCCCCCTCAAAAGTTAGCTTTTAGAGAAAACGGAATCAGGTCCGGACTTGGCCTTCTGGATTATTTTGTGGTTACCTGAAGAAGGAAGGTATAGAGCTGTTAAAAAGTCTCTCATTGTTAGATAAGAGCTCTTGGAAATAATGTGAAACAGTGTATCATTTTCAGCCATTTTTATTTATTTATTTATTTATTTTTTTAAAGATTTTATCTATTTATGTATTTGACAGAGAGATCACAAGTAGGCAGAGAGGCAGGCAGAGAGAGAGGGGGAAGCAGGCTCCCCACCAAGCAGAGAGCCCGACTCGGGGCTCGATCCCAGGACCCCCGGGATCATGACCTGAGCCCAAGGCGGAGGCTTTAACCCACTGAGCCACCCAGGCGCCCCTCAGCCACTTTTAAATCATTTTCTCTCCACTGTTATTACACACCTATAACACATGGGTTGTTTCCAAAACTTAGAGCTCTGGCTGAATTACTTTATTGACTGTGGCTTTCCTGAGAACATCCCCTACTGAACCAAGCTCTTGGCTTTAGGCATGGCTCTGGCCTTATTTTGCAGTCCCAAATCATCTCTCCAGTGCCTTGTTTGGAGGACATTTCCATTCTGAGTCAGCTCTTCAATTTTGCGCTGGGAGTTCTTTGTATTCCCAGGGTCTGGCCTGAGATGTGCTTATCACATGTTTGAACAATAAATTAGGTATGTGCTGATTGCCTCTGACTGAGGGTTTCTAACCCTGTTCCCTTGGGAAGAGGGTTGGCTAATCTCCTATCAGGTAAGAGACCCTCTAAGATTCTCGGAATGTCCTGTAGCCCTGACAATTGACCCCTGAACTTAAGGTTGAGCTATCCTGGGTACAGTTCATATTCCCTGAGACACTTTACACAGAATCTTGTCACTGGCATCACAGCTGTTAAGTTTTTTGTTTTGTTTTTCCGCTGGAAAACATCATGCCCCAGTTCACCATTAGCCTGAAGACCCTTTCAAGGGGTAGGAGGTTGGGGGGGGAATGGCTCCTTTGTATTAATTCCAGCCCTTTACCACCCAAAGTCTGGTTGAGGACCAGCCACATCAGCATCACCTGGGAGCTAGTCAGAAATGCAGAATGTCGGCCCCACCACCCTAGACCTACCCAATCAATACCTGCATTTTAATAAGATTCTTGGGCATTTGTGTGCATTGTAAAGTCTGAGAAGCACTGTATCTAGCCTACCCCTTTCCTTTCTACTATTTGGGGGGCTGAACTGCACTAATCGACTCTTCTGGTTCTGGTCTGTGGCTTGTGCTGTCTAGCCAAGCTGCGTCCCCAATGTCTGGGCTAAACCATGAATAAGCTGCTCTCTGTGCTGACTCCAGGGAATGCCTGTCCTCTCCACACCATCTCCCTCTTTGTCCAGACAAACTTTTTTTAATCCTTTAGGACATAACTGGAACCTCATCTTATTTTCAGCCTTTACCCGCAGCAGTTAGGAGTCCTTCCTTTGCGAGCCTTCACAATTTAAAAAATTTTGCTCTTTTAAATGCTGCTATGACCTTGGAGAGTAATCATGGTTTACATCTCTAGTTATTTTCTTGAGATAAATTTTAAATGGTGAAATTGCTGGCTCAAAAGGGTAAGCAACCTCTCTAAGCGAGGCTTTTAATGCTTATTTTCAGATTATAAATTGAATATTGACATTTACTGGGGGAGGTCACTCTTTATAAAACTGTCAACCTTGGCTGGCGTTAGAATCCCCTGGAAAGCTTTGAAAAATACTGGTGTCTGGGCCCTATCCCTGGAGATTCTGATTTCATCTCTGAGGTGGAGCCTGGGCATTGGGATATTATGTTTATTTACAGAGAAGATATATGTTTGTTTG